TTTTAAAAATCCTTTTGTCCCCCACATTATAGGATTTCTCCCCTTATGTGTGGTCACCATCAATTTCCCACTATCAAAGCACCCATGGTTCTTCAGATTACTCTTTCTCTGACATTTTCACTGGCTGTACATCAAACTCTGGCTATACATTATCTCTTTAAGGTTCAGTTTTAGTTTTCCTTTTGTATATTCTTTCCTTATTAATGTTATCACACCTGCAAAGCTTTAGTAACCAGCCACATGCCAATAACTTTCAAATGTATTTCTCCATTTCATATCTGACCCTTTTATCTAACCATTTCTTCATTGCCTCTCCTCAGGGGTCTCAAAAGCACTTCTAAAGCTGTGTGTCCAAAACTTAAGCAGTTATTCCCCAGTTTAGTATAGAACATTATTATCCATTTGTGCAAGTTAGAAATCCGAGAACATTCTTCATATGTCTTGTGCATTATTACTTCCTTCTTCCTTCTTCCCAGCTTCTATATCAGATTTGTCATTATATCCAATCTTCGTGGTAGGACCTTTGGAGTCTGACTTCTCTGTGTATCCTCTAAAACAACTTCATACTACCTTGATCTCAAGTGACCTTAGTCTCCAAACTAGAGTATAAAAGGCCCCTACTGAATCTTCATCTAACCACTCTTGTTCAACACCCTCCAACTCATTTTTTTATACTGCATGCAAGAAATATTTAAAACTCTAAGTCTCACCCTGTTACTTACATGCTTAAAGATCCTCAGTGGATTTTAAAGTTAAGGTTTCAGTTACCTGTATCTTTATTGTCGTTTATTGCTATTCTCTTTAAATTTATTTGTCCCAACAATACTCATCCTTTATTTCTCACTACACATGCTGGCCAATGTCTGTCACATCATGTCCACCCAGCACCTTTACTTAAATAACTTTCACTCATTTGGATTTTAGCACAAGTGACATTTGTCAGAAAATACTTTTTTATATCCATGATCAGATTTTCCTGTCATAACCTCTCAAGCATCTTACATTATTGTTTAATAACACTTATCTGTGGGCTCTGAGTAGCTGAAATATATTGCATCATTGTATTTTGAAGTGGTGGAATAGGTGTAATATAGTAGACACTCACAAAGCACTTGAAAAACAACAAAATAGATGAATGATTGAATAAAGTGTCATTACAGTATCCTACCTAGATAGTATCTGCTAAAATATTAGTGTTGAAATGTGATAAGAAACTGAGGAGTATGAGTGTAGATTTTCATATTTATTCTTTCTTAGTTACATGTACTGGATTTGCAGTTTATAAATCAGACTGATTTTCACTACCAGTGTGGGGAATTTAGCCTGTGATGTGAAGCTCTAGCTGTGCTCTCTACTTAGCCTCATTTCCAAACCACAAGTTCTGCAATTAAATTGCAGCTTTGTAGGTGACGCATGAGGCCATCCTGTTTGTTTATCTGTAGCTTTATATCTCTGTAGATCTTTTGGGAATATCATTTATAATATAAGTAACAAACAAGAAAAAATACTTATAAGTATACAAAACAAGAAAAAAGAGGATGCACATTTTCATCTTTGCATGACTCAGTTATGCCTTCAGTTTACATAACAGGGAGGATTTTTATTACCTTGTTCAAATTGTTTTGTCTTATGAATATCTGGAGTGTCAGCCAATAATTGCTATATGAATTTACTTTCTAAAGTAGTCTTCATGTATGAACTGTACAGTGTTTTGGTGTTTCAGCACAGTTGTATACAATAAGCGAAATCTAGGGATCGGGAATGATTTATCCACAAGAGGAATGACATTTTGAACCAATAAGTCCCTAAATGAAAAAAAAAAAATCCTTTTCTAGGTTTCTGGAACTTCAGCCATCAACTGGTTAGGTCATTAAGTTATATGTCATATTTTGTTGGATAAAGTCAAGGGAATTTTTCAAAGAGCTAGATCTGTCTTCAGAAATTCTAGGCATTACAGTGATATGAAGTTCAGCACTGTTAAAATACTACAGAACATCCTAGGCCTGGGCTTTGATACCATCTTGTTATCTCTCTGACAAGCACAAAGTGTTTTCATTTTATCTTCGTACCCCTGTCCTTTCCAGCCTGTCTTCAGTAAGATGTAGGGGATTGGAGAAAATTAGGTCTCAAGTAGCATGATAGCATCTTTTTATTCCACGGTTGAGTCTGGTTTCTCAGTCTCAAAGCTGACTATTTTATAAGCATCTGTACAATAGAATTCTGTCAGGGCATATGATTATCTTACAGGATTCAGTCCTGTGTTCGCTGTGGGAAAGTATGTATGTGACAGAACAGTCTCAGGTTGGAGGGCTAAGTATCTGCTTGGAAAGAGGCCCATGGGTCTATACATGCTCACATAGCTTTCATACATGGTGAGAATCAGAAAGGAAAACAAGGAATCTGGAAATCTTTAAATCCGGCATCTGTCTTTGGATTGCATTACAGCTGAGGGTGTGATCTGGCTTTCTGCTGTGTCAGCCCATAGGAGACCTTGCATCTCTCCAGGGCACAAGGTTGTATCACCAAGAAGCAAGTAGCATTGCTGGACCTCTGGCTGGTTTTAAGCGCCATCTTGTAAAAACAAGTGTGGATAGGTAACTAAAAACACCTAATTCCTTTCTTATTTTTGACCTTGCAGAAGGCAAATAGGAAAGGTAAAGCAATTCCAAATAATAAACTTCACAAACAGGCCTGTTTGATCATACATGTGTGTACTTGATAATCTCTAAAGCTGTTCTCAGAATACCCTTCTAGGATTAGGTGTGCTTTTAACAGAAGTATTTGTATTGGAAACACTGGGAGACCACTTGTTCTCCCACACTCATGTTTTTATCAGAATAAATTAGCTTCCACCCTCCCTCTTCTCTGCCCTCTCCTGACCATCAGTCCGTTCCTTTTTCTCCTTCACACCCCTTCCCTCTGCCTTTCTTCTCCTTTGCGGGATTCTGGTATTATCTGGTGTTTCAATCGTAGGCGTTTCCTTCCAATAGTATCTCATCGTCTTCTTTGTTTTCCCCTTATGAGTGATGTCATTTTGATGTTCAAATTCAGGGCTTTTTCTGTTTTAAGAAAGTTTTGTTAGTAAAATTACCAGTTCTTCTAGGAAAAAAATACTTGTTTTCACATTGGGAAAACAAATCAGTGTTCTTAACTCTGTTTTACAATGTTGGATGCCACAATACTGGAGGAAAAATAACTAAAACAACTTGAGGACACACAAATAGAAAATTAGTCTAATTAGTTAACATTATAAAATACCTAGTGACTTTTTAAGCATTAATAAAACAGTCATAGAGTAACATGGATAATTATGGAAAATGTCTATCAATTAGTTTAAAACAAAAATAAATGCTGTAAGCTGTGTTTATTTCTATGATTTATTCTGTACATTTTTTTTTTTAGGTCTATTTTAGCTTTATTTTTGCAGCTGTGCCTAAGATGGTGTTTAATCTCCCTATTGAGATTCTAGTTTCAGCTTTCACTGCTAGAAGTTTAATTTGGACTATTCAAATGTTATATATTCATATTTTGCTTTTTTGGTTTTGCTGACTTAATTTAGTTGTAAACAGACTAGTTCAGACCTTGGTAGGTATTAACAATCTACCAAAAAACACTGACACACAAAAAAAATCTAAAATATTAATACTGTGCTTTTAGCCCTTGGTGAAGTACTATAGGGTAAGGTAAAAAAATCAGGCTTTTCTGCCCTCCCACCATCAGGATAGATGAGGGAACCCTGTGATCCTGAATGCATGCCTGATGGCGGGCACCTGGAGTGGGTACACCTGTGCTAAGACTGTGCTTTTAAGGGCGGCGTCACGGGGACTCCAGTAGAAGCCGAAAGAGAAGAAGCCCGAAGCAGAAGCAGAGAAGGCCAGAGAGCCCAGATAGAGTGAAGATTTGCTGGGGGCTGGGAGGACTGCCAGCCTCCCAGCCCCCCAGCACCCCTGCCTGCCACGTACCCGCTGAACCCCAATAAAAGACCTGCAAAAAACCACTGAGGACTCTGACTCCTCCTTTACCTGGTCTGCATGGGATCAGAAAACCTGCTCAGTGGCCCATTCCTGCCTTTACAAGTACAAATAACCCTTAATGTACTTTTTCCCACTTTAATTTTACTGGGACTGTTGAAGCTCCAGAAAGATAATTTTTGACCAATAGCACATATGTAATTAGTGGCAGACATTATATTTGAACTATGTTCTTTTGATTTGTAGTTTAAATTCTTCCATCACTTCAACTGAACTGCACAGAGCACAGTAATTATTTTAAGACTCCGTGTACTCTGAGTAAATACAATAATGTACTATATAAAAGCAGTGTTACAGTGTTACATAGATTTGATCTATTTATGCCCAATAGGCTAGTAGAAATAAACATGAAGAATCCATTAATATTTCCCATATAGCACTTTTCAAAAAGAATTAGGTATTTTAAAGCTGCAGAGAGATATCCAATTTCATAGCTTTATTTTGTCTTTGAGCAGTGGAAATATTTAATCAGAAAAGCTTGAAATTATTTCATTGAAATGTTTTTATATGGCCATTGAAACTTTTAATAATGTCCTTTTCATACCTGTAACCTAATTATCTAGTATCTAGTTTAGAATATAGCTAGTATTTAGTAAATACTGGATGAATGAAATGTGGAAGAGTAGACTTGGGACAAAAACAGATTACTCTCGGGGCCTCCCCTGGTGGCGCAGCAATTGAAAGCCAGGCTGTGAAGCTGTCCGCAGCCTCTGCAGCGCAGGTTCAATCCCCAGCCGCCCGGGAGGGTACCACATGGCGCGACAGTCCTCTCCTGCCACGCTCGCTGCTCCCCTCAACAGTGTATTTCATCAATCTGCCTGTTCTGTTCCCCACTCTGGCTCTGGTGAATTCTTTCACCCTCCCTTGCTTCTGACTATACCCAGTGCTTGTATAAATAAATAAATCTTTAAAAAAAAAAAACAAAACACCAGATTACTCTCCAGGCCTTGACATTAATTTGCTCTCAGTTTTGGCATTCGTAAAATGACATAAGTTTTAATTTGTTCATTAATTCTGATTGAGAATAATTACATGCCCTGACTTTGTGATATTGAATATGATGATATGTGAAGACTCAGCCAGGGAAAGCATGATTCAATTAATGACATGTGTCCTGTGCAAAGAATAAGAGATCACATTGGAGAGGCATCACGGGTAGTCTTGACCGTTTCACTTCTGGGTCAGCTGTTTTTTCCACAGGTCCTCTTCTCTGCTTCATTCTTTCCAGTTTGACACCTCACATGCACCATCTCACCAAAATGTCCTAATCTGTAATAAATAACACTTTAATCATAAGAGAAGTCAGAGTTAACAAAGCAACCCAACAAGCTTAAGGGGCATGGGGAAGTAAAATAGACGGACTATTGGAGTTCTTAGTGCAGTTCATTGATTTTCAAAACTGTCTACCCATAGCATGATAAAAAGAGAGAATTAAAGGTGTGAGGGTCAAATCTCAGTGATAGCTATAAGATTCCTGAGAATCATCCTGGAGCCTATTTTTGGTGAGGACAATTAGTTTACTCAGAGAAATAACACCCGATTTTTACCTAAAATGAAATCTTTCAAAATTTTATTTAATTGCCAGGGGAGGTTCTAATGGGGACACCTCCTACTGTTTGATAATATTTTAAATATATAAATTTTGGAAGTAAGAGATTTAAACCTTAGTGCTTATCAACCCAAGAAAGTAATTAGGCTATAATATAATAAAAAGGTCATTTGTATATTTATAATGTTCAAAATAAGCAGTAGAGCAATAGTTCTTGTCTGCCTTTTTATGTTTCTAGCATCAGACCTGCTTGATCTTGTCGATCCTTAATTGGTTAATAGTTGAAATGCCGGAGCACTGTGTAATGATTCCTACCATGATCATCTTTGAGTAGCTGAGTAAATATATGTATCAATAAAAGTTAATTCCTAATTTTAAAAATATGGGAGGGGGCATTTGTTTTGGAATAGGAATCATGACCTGGACCAGTCCCAAGGTGTGTACAACCATGGCCAGGGCACAGGGAGTTTCAAAGGATGGGACAGGGAGATGGTCTGAAGTCAGGCTTCGGTGGGGAAATGTTTGGTGCCTCCGAAGTTCATTTGCTTGTCTCTGATTGGTGAACAAGTCTCCAGACAGAAGGCTGTAGTGTGGGGACCTGCCCTTCACAATTAGCAGGTGATCTTTTCTTTTTTTTGTAATCTCTGTGTGTTAAGTCAGGCTGTTTTAGGTGGAAAGTAAAGTCTCAACATGGCAGCTTAGAGACCAGATGGAATCTGACTCAAAACAAGTTGCACAAGGCTTCATAGTTTCTTAGAGCTGGTGGAAATCCAGAAAGCATCGGTTCATCAATACCTCTTCCCCACTGCTGTGAGAGTGGAGATGATGCTGTTCTTTTTCTTATAATACATTTCTCTTTTTATTTTTTTTCAGGAAACCTCTTTGAATCTTGATGGTTTCATTTCTCCTGATCAGAGGTCTATAATACTCATTCAAGCTTTCTTCTTTGTAAACAAACATTTCCTGTAATAGGACCCCAACAGCCTTCTAAAGGCTAGCTTGTTATTCTCCTGAATTATTTTACTTGGGAGCTTTGGGTTTTGGGGGGTGTTGGTTTTTATACAATGTCTGAAACCAAACTGCTGTTTTTCTCCTACAAACCTGCCCTCTCATGGTCTCCTTGCAATAAATAGTTCTATTCTAGGTCCATAGGCCAAAATTTTTGAAATCATTTTTTTCCTCCTCTTGTTTCACAGTAGGAGGTCACTGTCTCATTTTCTAAATTTACACCTATTTAAAAATATTTACAAATGCAATACTCTAAACTTTGAGTAATCCCACATTGAGGATGAGTTTCCTACCTCCTGTATTTGCAGCTACCTAGCTCAGTGCAGTCATGTGTTCGGTGCCCAAATTGACTCTTGATTGTGTGAATGAACTAGCTCAGCTCTTCTGCCACTGTGTGTCAGCAAAAAGAGTACACCGTGTTTAGGGCCTACCTGGTGGCGCCAGGGGTTAAGTCTCAGCACTATAAAGCTATCGGCAGCCACTGCGAGGGAGCAACCCACATGGTGCAGCAGACCTCTGCTATCTCACCCATTGGTCCCCTCAGCAGTGTATTTCAGTAGATCCTCCTGCTCTGCTCCCCACTCTGCTTCTGGTGAATCCTCTCATTCCCCTCCCCCACACCTCTGGCCTACACCCCAGCTCTTGTATGCATAAAATAAATCTTTTTTAAATCTTAAAATAGATTTATTATATAAGCACTGGGGTACAAGCCAGAGGTGCAGGAGGGTGAGAGAATTCACCAGAGACAGAGTGGGGAACAGAACAGGCAGAAGGTCTGAAATACACTGCTGAGGGGAGCAACCGGTGAGGAAGGAGAGGTCTGCCGCACCATGTGGGAATATCCCTGGCTGGCTGGGAATCTAACCGGCACTGCAGAGGCTCTGGACAGCTTCACAGCATTGCACTCAAACCACTGCACTCAACCTGCTGCACCACCAGGGAGGCCATAAAATAAATCTTTAAAAAAAGAATACACTGTATTTGGAAGGGAGGTGACATGCATGCTCTGTTCCTGATGCTCCTTGTCAGGCTGCTTCTATATGCATTGAAAACTGTCTTCCTTCCAAATTCAGTTAACATCCCCTTTTTGAAGTCTTGTTCAGTAATCTGTGGGGCACTGTAATGAACAGTCATTTCTCCATATTCCTCTAGCACTATTCTTTCTCTTCTTTTTCATCATGACTGCTATGTTATAAGTTTACAAACTCCTACTTCTAAACTTTAAATTAATTGAAGGCTTCAGTTGGGTCTCACTTACTTTGTTAAATCTTAAAAAATAATGAGACTCAACTGGTCATAATTAACAAAGACACTGCAAGGTCAGCAGCACTCCAATTAGAGCCACCCAAGTTGATCAGAGGTGGAGATGAGTCAGGCAAGGAAAGTGAAGACCACGGGTGGCGGTAACACTCAAAATGCTCCTCCTCAGAGACTTAGTGGCACTTCCTCTAAATTGGAGTAGTAAAGGAGAGTCTACACATTTCACTTTTTTTTTTTTTCTGATTTTTACCTCAGCGAAGAAAATATGCATTATTCCTATTATGTCTAAGCCAATCAAAATGAATTTTGTGTGAATTTTAAAGTATGTGGCAGTGGTGCTTAGGATTATTAAATACTGATTCCTAATGCAAATCTAGAGATAGAGTGATCAAATAATAAAGCCGGAATGGATGCTGAAGATCAATCAAGTCAACTTAGTGATTTTCAAAGTGAAAAACAATATCCAAAAATGTTTAGAGAGTCAGCTGAAAACAGAAATAAGCAGTATTCAACTTGCAAGGAACTCACATAAAGCCATCGGGAAGTTTTGAAAGTGGATGGACAAATTTATCAGTTTTTCTAAGATAGGAAATCATATTTCAAAAACTTCTAAATCATTTATGTAGGCAGGTGCAAACACTCAAAAGATCAAGAGAAAATAGGTCTTTATTTTGAAAATATCTCTGCAGTCTGAAAATGAGAATAAAAACTTTTCCCCAGGCAAATAGAAGAATTCTATCTCAGAGAGCTAACGCGAACTTCAGAGGGCAATGATAATACACATGGATTTCCATGGAACATGAAGGACCCTTTAGCGTTTGTGGACTCAGAACTTATATATTAAAAATATAATTAACATTTTTTTCCTCTGCGCTCTTCTCTTTTGTCTTACGCTAGCTATAAGCATATGCTAAAGCATTCATTTTCAATCTCTGCTATGTGATAAAGGTATTCATTGTGCATTGATTTAAAACTTGGAGAAAACAAGCCACCTGAGTTTTTTATTGAAGTTTCTTTTGACTTGCATATACTATAGCTACTTTTTGTTTACTTTCTCCATCTTGAAAGTTTTGCAGGGGGCCTTCCAGGTGACCTAGGCATTAAGTCTCAGTGCTATTACTTCTATGGTCTGAGTTGGATCCCCTGCCAGGGATCTAACCCACATATGGCTCAGCAGAACTCTCCTGTCTCAACCCGCTGCTCCCCTCAGCAGATCTGCCTGTTCTTCCCCCTGCTCTGTCTCTGATGAATCCTCTCACCTAACCCCCCTATCCCTGCACCTCTGGCCTATACATCAGTTCTTCTATGCATAAATAAATAAATCTTTTAAAAAGAGTTGTAGAAAAAGTAGTTTTTGACCTTATGTTAAGAAGGCTTTAGAATAGGAAAGCTGTAAGCTTAATATTAGTTTGGTTATAATTTCTATAAACTTTGCTTTTTGTTTCACCTATAAGAACCTTATAAAGGTGTAGGAGACAGGACAAGCACTTGCTGGAGACAAACCAGCCTTGGATTTAAGAAATAGAACTCACTCAGAAATTGCTGGCTGTAGTTTGGACTTCAACACTTTGGATTCCATCTGAGAAAGACTTTATTAAACACACATTCTTTGAGTTAAATATTGCCTTTTTCTCAGTTTTGTACTATTTTTTTCCAAAACTGAACATTCCAACCTCTAGGTGTTTATCATTTTCACCCTGTTTTTTAGTTCCAGCGCATGTCATGGTGAGATTGCTCCACAGTGGTGCTGCTGCTTTGTATACTTTAGGTTGAAAGATAGTTAAGATTCAATGAGGGAAAATTCTCAGAACTGTCAGTTAAATATTTTTCTAGTCTAAATTATGCAAAACTCAAATTATCTTCAGCCCTAAATATGGTTTATTGCAGGTTAGTATTCCCTCTTGTGCTTGTTGCTTTGCCGTAATGGCTTCCCTTGCTAAAGTTATGGGCTTGAATCATGGTCATAATACCTACTTATTTACAGAAATGGAGATAAAGCAGGAGAGTCTGATCATTTCAAAAGAAGAACCAGTAATTAGGCTGTAGAAAAGTTTTAAGTTGTTTATACAGGAACTTTTACCCAAATAAGAACTGAAAAATTATTTATCTTTAAGTTTTTACTTATTCTCCTTCTATTAGGGAAAAAAGCAGCAATAGCATAGCTCAGAGTACTAATTCTTCCCAGCTCTATGCTGTTTTAATAATTAACTTCACTCAGCCCTAATGTCTGTAGAGAAATCAGGACTGTGAAGTCCTTATCATTGAATTAGCTTCTATAATTTGTGGCAAAACAAGCACCTCACACTGAAGGCTTCTTCTTAAGTAAAAGGGATAGAAAAATTTTCCCTAATGATCACTGGATCAAGTTCAGGGTAAATGTGATGTCAAGTTTGAATATTGGAAAATATGTAAATGAACTAGCGTCACTAATGTTATAGATGCGGCATTTCAGGGACAAAGGGTCAAATAACTTGTTAAAAGTCACAAAATCAGTTATAGCCACTCATGTTATTCATTTAGCTTACTCTAGTTTATACATGTTTTTTAATGCACTACTATACATTTCTTATTTGTTCTCCCAACTTTCATGCCAAATTCAGGTTCATACATTCATTTTGGAAATAAATATTTGTAATTCTATACATAATGTTGAACTCCACCTATGTGGTAGACACCTGCCAGGTCCTGAGAAATCAAAGATGAGCCAAAAATATCTGATATAACCATGAGCTGTAGTCTAGTGTGGACAAATAATCTTTTTTTTTATAATAAATTTTATTTTTATATTCCCCAAACAATTGCAACCCCCCCATTCTGACCCCAATCCCTCCCCTCCCGCCCCCACCCCCCAAAAAGTGTCTCTGGTTCATAGTTTTTTGTTGATTTTGATTTTCACTTTCTTATAGTTATTCATTTTCCTGGTCCCTTATTTAAGTTTTCTAGATTCCTGCTATGAGTGAGACCATCTGGTATTTTTCTTTTTCTTTTTTGGCTTATTTCACTGAGCATGATCCCTTCCAGTGCCATCCATGTTGCTGCAAATTGCATGTGTTTATCTTTTTTGAATGCTGAGTAATATTCCGTGGTATTTATGTACCACATCTTCTTGATCCAGTCATCTATTTTTGGGCATTTGGGCTGTTTCCAAAGCTTAGCTATTGTAAACAGTGCTGCTATAAACATAGGTGTGCAGGTGCTCTTTGGAATGGATGTTTCTGTGTCCTTTGGGTAAATACCTAGGAGTGGAATTGCTGGATCATATGGAAGCTCTATGTTTAGTAGGTCCAGAAATCTCCACACAGCTCTCCATAGTGGTTGGACCAGTTTGCACTCCCACCAACAGTGCAGGAGAGTTCCTTTTTCTCCACAACCTCGTCAACATTTGTTGTTGCTAGTTTTTTTAATATGTGCCATTCTCACTGGTGTAAGATGGTATCTCATGGTAGTTTTGATTTGCATTTCCCTGATTACAAACTATACTACAAAGCCATAATCATCAAAACTGCATGGTATTGGAACAAGAACAGACATACAGACCAATGGAATCAAATAGAAAATCCAGAAATAAACCCACAGATTTATGGTCAACTAATCTTTGACAAAGGAGCAAAGACTATGCATTGGAGCAAAGAAAGTTTGTTCAATAAATGGTGCTGGGAAAACTGGGTTGCTACATGCAAAAGAATGAAGCTTGACCACTACCTCACACCATACACAAAAATCAACTCAAAATGGATTAAAGAACTAGACATAAGACCTGAAACCATGAAATATATAGAAGGAAATATAGGCGAAACACTACGTGATTTGCACATCAAAGACATCTTTACAGATACATCACCCAAAGCAGTGATAGTGAAGGCAAAGATAAACAGCTGGGACTACATCAAATTAAAGAGCTTCTGCACAGCAAAAGAGACAATAACAAAAACAAAGAGAAACCCCACTGACTGGGAGAACATTTTTGCACCCAACACTAATGATAAAGGACTGATCACAAAAATCTGCAAAGAGCTGATGAGACTCAACAACAACAAAGAAAATAACCCAGTCAAAAAATGGGCAGAAGAGCTAAAGAGAAACTTCTCTGAAGAGGAAATGCAAATGGCCAACAGGCATATGAAAAAATGGACAAATAATCTTATGAATAAGTATGATGATACATATTTTGAAGGCAAAATATAGGTGCTCTTTAGGCTAGGGAGAGAGGAATATGCTATATAATTCATTTCCCCAGGTTTCTCCAGCCAAGGATGCCACACAGCAACAGTAAGAGGAGAAAATTGCTATGGGTCCTAAGGGATAAAGCTGTGCATCACACATACCTTGAAAATCTGATGCTCAACTACTTTCACTTTATGACTATATTTTCCAGTTCTTTTAGCTTCTTCTTACAGCTACCAGATTTCCCTGATTATATCACTTATTACTTTATTAGTTTGGTCATCCCTCTCTTCTGTGGTCCAGTCAGTGAAAAATACAGTTATTGAGCACTAAATAAGACAAGACATTCACATTAGCACTACTTTAACTCTTTATATCCCATCTTCTTCATAGAGCTCCATAAAAATTCCAGTGGGGACAATACCATATGAATTGATGCCCTTTGCTCTATGCATGCGCTGATATCTGAAAGGTGAAAAAGAATTGAAAGAAGTTGGAAGCAGAAGGAAAATTAGGTAGATGGAACATAATATTCTCTTTCCAGACCTAAAAAGAGTGTGGCTTACTCTAGGAATGGGAAGAAGGGAGAGTTGTAGAAGTAGAAAGCAGAGTGTGTCAAGCCCAAGAGGGACAGGACATTCAGATTCCTCATGACCAGACCAGAAATTTTCATCTCAAGCCTGAGTACACCCTGAGAGTTATAGGGAGCTTTTGAAGAGACATAAACAGGAAAATAACAGAGTAGAATTTCATTTCATTAGAAAAACAGAAGCATGGACCAGGGTGGGGAGGCAGAGAGGATCAGACATTGTCATAAATTTATGTCCTTTGTTTATAAATAGAGGACATTGTCCTCGATTTATGTCCTCCACCCTGATCCTGGTCCACCCTCCTATCATGTTTCTTGACTTTTGCAATAGATGCCGAACTACTTCCACTACTTCTGTTTTGCTCCTCCCCATTTCACTTACCTTACTGTGTCTGGAATAATCCTTTTCAAATAAATTGACTAGGGCAGTTAAATCCTTTTCATAGTTTAGTTAGCTTGCAGAGAGTTTTTGTTGGTTTTCAAGCACGGAATTCCTTAATCCAGCCTGTTGAAAAAAGATGCTAGGATGATAAATCATTCCCTCACTCTAATTCCTTAATTTTACCTTACCGGCCTACTGGACACCCTCAGTCAATAACCAAGTTATTCAAAGGGAAAACTGCATCCTGTCCTCCCCTTGGCAGCACCCAATATGCAATTACATCATGGTCTGTAAGCTCCATGGAATCAGATACATGTATTTTGTTTCTCACAGTGTGTTCGGTGGCCAGCATAGTATGTACTGATTGAATGAATGTATGAAGTGATAGTAGGTGGTAAGACAGAGATTATATTGGCTGGGGGCAGGGCAGGAAAGGCCCAGGGAGACTCTGACCCTCAAGGTCATGTGACCATAGGTGCTGCCAGGGCTCTGAAAGTTCCTGTGGGAATAAAGCCAGAACCTGCAAGCTGCATGAAGAGCTGACAAAACTGTCTCAGGATAGCATTCATTAGAAAATTGCTCATTAATGATTACAGGTGGCTGGCTTGTTTTAAGGGAAGAAACCAGGAGACTACTCTTGGTGCAGTCAGCACTTAGTGTTAAGTAAAGAGAAAGCTCTATTCTACGTACTGCATGATTTAGTTTTAGGATTTAGTCCTTTGTTTTCTACCATATGAGGACATTTAAACAATCTAGAGTTGAAGTTGGTTGGGAACTTTACTTAATGATTAAGTCATCATTGGAAATCTATGAAAACAAGGTTGCAGATTCGTGTGTGTGTGGGGGGGGTGGGTCGTACTCGCTGCTGGTGAGTGCTATAAATGAATAACACTACAAAATGATTAAGTATGCTTTTCCTTTTCCCTCATTCATCCCTGATTTAGAGTTCTTAGGAGAGATATTCATAGGATCAGTGTATGTATGTGTCCACCTCTCTGTCTGTCAGATGGAAGCTTGCTGATGGCAAGCTTAGACATCCTGGAGAGTTATAGTGTAAGTTCCAGTTAGGAGACAGGCAGAGAGAGCAAATTTTCCCTTTCTATTTTCTGTACTATTCAGGCTTTCAATAAATTGGGTGAGGCCCACCTACTTTGAGTGCAGCTCACCCTCCCCAGTATTCTGGTTCGAATGCTAATCTCATCGTATCATCTATGATACATCTATACACAAAACTGTTTCAATAAATATCAGGGTACCCATAACCTAGTCATGTTGACCCATAAAATTAACCATCGCAACATTTCAATCTATAGGTACATGAAAGGAATGATCAGAGTGACTCTTATCCTATCTATTTTGCAATATAATTTTACAGTTTCAGAATGAATAGCTATACCCTTTATTATTAGTATACCAGGATACACTAAAATGTCTTCATGTGACCGCCAACTAACATTTCATAGCTGTGATATCCACAAGAAGTGGTATTTCATGATTCAACCAACCTGCCAGGAAATGAGAGGTTTAAATTTATAAAAAAGTTGCAATAAATTTTCTTGTTGAGTAACCAAAAAACATTAAGACTACTAGATTATATCTGGGGGATATTTATATTTAATGATTAACATTAAAAAATAGTCATTTCCTTTACTGTAAAGAATCAAGATATTTTTAAAATGCTATTATAAGTCACATTCAAAAACATGTTCTTATGCAAAGCAGTACCTTTGAGAGAAATGTACCACTTGAGAACTATTGTACCACTTGCTAAATGTACCACTTGCTATTGAACTAAATGTACCACTTGCTATTGTTCTGAAGCATGCAGTATTCCTCTACATTATTTTTCACTTGTCTTGGTCCTGGTAACTTTTGGCCATTAATGTAATATTTACCCACAAAGGATGCTTTATCCTTACTTAGAATATCAAATTAAGGCATTCCTGCTTTTAAGGCAAATCAAGAGGAGTTCTAAGACAGTACCGGGTAATAGTACCAGGGAAATAAATATGTAGCCCCTTAACACCATTGTGAAGGCAGATGTGGGAAAAAGAATACAGGGATGAGAACCTGAAAATGTTATTTCCAACTATTCTACTGTTTCCCTGGCAGGATGGATGCTCTGAGCTTCCCCTTTCTCAGTCACTCCCTCTTCCATTTTTTGATGCCTATGTGGTTTCAGTTGAATGAACTCACTTCTACCTCTGAGTGTGTTGTGAAAGACCAGAAGTTAGGGAAATGAAGGAGCAAAGTAAAGGTACAAGGTATACACTCTTCATATTATCTTTATAATAGAAGATGGAAGGGATTATACTCTGATAGTTCTGGAAGGTTCTACTAATATTCTACCTTAAAAGGGGGAAGTCCTATACTTATCCCGAAGAGTGTGAGGTTTTCCCATTATGGGGCCACAATAGGCACAATTGCCAAAACACACACTGTCCAACCTCACCTCTATGTAGATCGCCTTGGACTCCAGAACAGAAGGACCAAGGGCAAAATCTCTATCCATGAGGTGTTTCGTTTCTTTTCTTTTCTTTAAATCTGATGCTTCTAGCCATTCACATAATGGTTATCCATGTTTTCTGACACTTGCCTTAACTGTGAAAACACTTTTTGTGCTCTAAAAAAGCCACCTTCTACTTTTTACCTGGATTCTCCTGGGAATGCCCCTTACCTTCACAACCAAATCCTATTAGCTGCTGTAAAGCACTTGCTTAAATTCTTCCATTTCAGTGCCCAGTGGTTAATTCTTGCAGCTGTTACATAGAGAGTCTAGAGATGCCAACTTTGTCCTTGGTTGTGAAAGCTTCAGTGAAATAAAACCATGCTATATTCAGGCAGAAATGAAAAGAAGTTTTCATTCTATTTAAAGTTAATATCTACATATTAAGAATATTCAAAATAAAAGGTAAAATATTCTTGTGATACTAAGACTTTAGATGTATTTCTGGAAAAAAGCTTTTGTCAGCAATTTGGTGAGTTCCCCTTCTCTGGGTTAGATGAAGACATGCATTCACTTGGAATTATGCTAAGATACAGATTTCTGGGAAAACATATCACACTTTTGATTTTCTTTCTCTTTGATGACTCTTTCTTACTGAGTCAAAATTCTTTGCCTGACTGTCTCTTATGTGGATAATGTCTCATCTAAGAAACTCCCGGCCTATTTCAGCAGTCTGCTAGCTGTCCTGACAGGCTGTGACCTCAGGAATGCATAGATCCCAGCAGCAGCCTCTGCTCCATGTGGACAGCTCCAGTTCTCCCAAACTACTTCCTTTCATTTCTGGTTGCCATTTCATTTCTTCTCCTAAGCAGTCTTATTTTTTTTTTGTTTTTCAGTCAAGGGATCAGAGCATGCACTGATTATATTCCCCAACAAAATGATAAAATATATTCTTTTATTTTTTAATTTTATATATATATTTACATTATTTTTTCATTTTTGCACAATGTATACATTTTCATCTTGGTTATAGTCTCCATACAATTCCCACCACCCTTGTTTTGATCCTACTCCCTTCTCCCCTGATCCCACCCCTGTAGTGTGTCTCTGCTTTATAGTTGCTTGTTGATTTTGATTTTTACTTTATTATAAAATATATTCTTAACTCACAGGGAGATAACCCACATTAAATTGATTCTACTTTAATACAGCTGGCTCTTTTCACGATGCACTCTGATGGAAATAGTTTTTAAGATGAATGTTAGCATTCAATTGTTATAGAACACAGAAAATACACTCAGTCACTCATCAAAGAAAATTGAGCCAAATATGTGGTAGTTCTTGGGTTCGGTACATTGTATTTTTATGAAATAAATTTCAGAAATAATAATGAAAATAGTAATAGATGAAGGAGATATCAATCCCTTTATTTGTGTGGGACACTGATAGACATTTTATGTGCATTATTTCTAACTCTTATAGTTACCCTGCAAATTAGGTGTAATTATCAACATATTGTAGTCAGCTGGAAATTGAGGGCTACTTCTCTCAACCTCAGGATTACACAGTTGCTGGCATTTGGGTTGTTCCCAAACACTGAAGCACCTAGGATATGTGAGGTAAACAGAGAAAAACAAATCATGGTGGGATCACTTAAGAGGTGTTTCCCAAGTCTCTGAGTCTAATTGCCAGAGTTTTAATTCATGTTCTATAGACTCCTGGGATTCTTCTCAAATATCATGGAATGTTGCTGGGGGACCTGGGAAAGAGTGTGGGGTAGCATTCAAGGTTCTCTACTCCTATAAGGAGAAGAGTTCAAGTTTTTAATCTGTATTTGGTATTATTTATATTTGCTTAATATAGTGAGATTCTACAAAAATATTTTTTGAAAAGCTTTAATATATATTATCTGTGGCTCTCAGGAGTTCAGAAAAAACACCTCAGAATTCCTTCCTGTTTTTCTCCTAAATTCATCTCTCTTTTTTTTTTTTTTGGTGATCAGAACAATACCAAAAAATGAGCCCTTGATCTTCAGATTTCTTCTCCTTTGCTTTATGATCCTTTTCTGAAGTACAAGATGGGTGGTTGAGAGCATAAGTGATGTCACACAGGGGAGTGGACTATGTATCATTGAGTTGTTCACTCAACCTCTGTTTTCTCATTTGTAAAATGGGGGTAACCATAGTTCCTTTGTCATAAAGTTGTTGTAAGGATTAGATGAATATAAAAACAAACACTTCTCACATGATAAACGATCAATAATTTATAATTATTAAATGTCTGACTAGCTCTAGGTGTCACCTTGAATAATGCATAAAGTATCCCATAATAAATATTGTATAGTGAAAAGACCTTTCAATTGGCTGCTTTGTACCACAGTTTTAGTCCTTGTATTTGATTTCTTTACTCTCTAGCCCTATGGTGTGTGGGGTTTAATGCTTATCCTTCCCTGATAGCTGGATCTTCTCACTGTGTAGTTTTCTGGAACTTTTGACCATGAAAGCAGCATTTCTTTTTCATATTTCTAATAAAATGTGAGGTTTATTTTAATACTATTCTGTATATTCCCTTTGTCATTGTAACATTAATAAGTGTCTTAGTGACAAGAACAATGGTGCCTTCATGCAACATTCAGCACTAGATTTGACTGCTGTGGCTTGATTTAGGCAACTACAGATCTGACTGATTTTTCAGACTTAGGGCTTTTAGTCATTTCCTTCAGGTACTTTTTACCACCACAAACTGCCCCCACCCACCCACCTGCCAGAAATAATGTCCTTTAAGGAGAGGTTTGTTGGCTGCTAATGCCCAGCCACTATCTAGCATGTCTTCAATTGTGGCTTTCATCCACAAAAGGGACAGACATTTCTTAAATTCTCAAAACTGTTTTCTTGACCTCAGGTATAGTACCACTGTGTAGGCCTCCTGTGTTTGTGGTGTCGAACTTCTGGATAAAGTTGATGAAGTTCACAGAAACACCAATACTTTGTGTGTCTGAATTGTGCATTACCCTTGGAACGAAATTACTATACTATTTTTAGGAGTAATAGCTCAGATCATTTTTTTCATAAGTATTTAGTCACCAGTAAAAGACTGTGGCTAAGGGTAAGCACTATACCCATTGGTAATTATATTAACTGAAATGGTCAGAAAGTGAAAAAGACAATTCCTGGAAGGTTCACTCATTTGTGGAATATAAATAATGAAAGAAAACTGGCAATATACACAAAAATAACTGAGACTGAAACGTACATGGGTTACCAGAGGAAAGGGGTGGTGGGTGAGGGAAGAGGATAAAGGCGGTTATGTGATTGTGTGATGGCCTGGGAGCATTGGTGGAGGGGAGGGAATCTGTACCCCCAGATTATATAGTTATAGAAATTAATTGCAAATCAGTAAGATTTGATAAATCTTTCTCTTTCTCTTCCTCTCCTCTTCCATATCCAACGAAACACACTTAATTGGATTTGAATTCTCAAGTTATCCAAAATTATTCTGAAAAGTGCTAGAATTAGAATAGGCTTATTTGTTTTTATTATCTTATAATATATCCTTTGAATTGTCCTTCATGAATTCATGTTCTAGTTTCTTAAGCCAGACTGGTGATGATATTTAGGGAATTATTTTTTTCATCACTTTAAAAATGCTACATCACACTGCTTAAGACATTTTCTTGTGGCCTCCTTTTTCCTGATTCTATATAGGTGATTATTCTTGGTTTGGTGATTTGTCAACCACAGAATAATTGACTTAAAATAACTTCACTTCTGTCTAATACTAGCACACATTGGAAAATTTTCTAAATACTAATGAATGGGAGCATCAAGTGAGTAAAGTATATTCTTAACCTATATATACACACAAATGAGTGTGAGATAAATCAGCAACAGAATGTATGGTTTCAGGTATACCAGGGACATATCAAGAAAACTACAGAAGGAGCAGTCTCGTCTCAGAAATTAATTTCAATTACAAAACAGAATATGATCTTAAGTGACAAATTAGATGACATGGATTCAGTATAGATTTACAGAGCTTTCTACTATTAAGTAACAATACATTCATCTGAAGTGCACAAGGAACAGTCTCAAGGAGAGATTATATGTTGGAACATGAGTCAATTCCTAATAAATTTATGAAGATTAAATCAGGAAGCACCTTTTCATCATAATGGCATGAAACTAGTAATCAATCAAAACAAGAAAGAGGAGAAAACCACAAATATGTGGAAAACAGATATGTTGGAAAAGTGTATTAGTCACATTCAAAAGAATAAAACTAGACCATCATCTCACACAATTCATTAAAATTAATTGAAAATGATACAAATGGTCAGATAACCCCAACAAATGTGGGACATGATCATGTAGGATAATGTATTAAGATCGGAGTTGACTAGCATCTTTAGCTTTGATTCTTTCGAAGTAAGTAGAGAATATGACACTACTTAGAGATCATTTGCCACAATATTTTTGAATATGATTCTACTTCTAATCTCTGTAGTTATATGAACATTATAGCCACTAAATTATACATAATGAAAACAGCCGTGGCAACTTGTGACTCTATTTTGATGCATTGCAAAATGTACTCTTGCTTTAAGTGGTGCTATCTATTGAGGAATTTACATTCTGTGCTCATAAATTTGCAAAACATCCACTGATGTGAACTGCCACATCATCTACAGAGAATGGTATTCCTAAGTAGATCTGTAAATACTCTGTAATGTTCGGTTCTTGTTGCCAAGAATTTTCTCCCAGAACATCTCAGGAGACATCTGCATTAGAAGACATGCCTTTATCCAATCACACAGAAGGGTATGGTCTATTCCTAAACAATTGTTAAATTTTTAAAGATTTATTTATTTATTTACAAGCACTGGGTGTAGTCAGAAGCGCGGGAGGGTGAGAGAATTCACCAGAGTCGGAGTGGAGAGCAGAACAGGCAGACTGACTAAGTACACTGCTGAGGGGAGCAGCGGGCGGCAGGAGAGGTCTGCACGCCATGTGGGACCCTCGCTGGTGGCCAGGGATGGAACCGGCGCTGCAGAGGCTGCGGGCAGCTTCACAGCCCAGCGATCAAACGCTGTGCCACCAGGGGAGGCCCAATAGTTGTTAAATGTGATTAAAAGAAGTTTAGGATTGTCAGCCTATGTATTTATGAAACCCACAGTTCAAAACATGAGCATTTCCAAACTTACAGCCCAAAAGAATGAAAAATACTCTGATAAAAGCAGAATTCCTGCAGAAAATCTTTTGATTCAAT